ACACCTCCAAGGTTCTGTACAGTAGAACTGGAGGCCAAGGCGATGCCCTCTAGAGCAGCTGTCTGGTTCCAGAGTGTGTTTCTGAGGTGTTTAGGGCCAAATACAAGAACCTCAGTTGGTCTGAATTTACATGAAGGAGATTCCAGGTCATCCAGACCTTTATGTCCTTCAGACATGTTGGAGTCTGACCAGCTCATTGGTTTCATTTGGCTTCATAGATAAATATAACTGGGTGTCGTCTGCATAACAGTGGAAATGTCTGCAGTGCTCCCTGATAATACTGCCTACAGGGAGCATGTACAAGGTCCTAACACAGAGCCCTGTGGAACTCCATCACTACCTCTACTGCAGGTGGAAGAACCATCATTAACATGAACAAACTGGAATCTGTCTGATAAATATGATGTAAACCAATTCAGTGCAGTTCCTTTAAGTCCAGTAAACATTCCAGTCTCTGTAATCAGATGCTGTGATCCACTGGATCAGATGCAGCACTGAGGTCCAACAGAACCAGTACAGAAACTGGTCCACTGTCTGAAGCTATAAGAAGATCATCAGTGACCTTCAGCAGTGTGTCTCTGTTCTATGATGCTTCTAAATCCTGACTGAAACTCTTCAGACAAACATTTCTATGCAGATCATCACATAACTGGCTGCAACAGCTTCTTCCAGAACTTTACCAATCAAACGGAGGTTGGATCTGGGCCTATAGCTAGAACACCTGGATCTAGAGCAGGCTTTGTGAGCAGTGGTTTTATTAGAGCTACTTTAAAAGCCACAGGCTAAAGACAACACATTTTTATAAAAGCAACAAACTTTATTCATAAAGACAAAACAACTTTGTTTTTAAAGGCAACACACAACTTTATTAAACACAAACAAAACTTTATTTATAAAAGACAGGAAATATAAATAACGCCTAATTGAAGCAGTCTCTGTGTGTGTTTGGCCATCCAGGCGATGGTGATCGCAACGGAGCGAACGTCGGAGCAACGATCGGATCAGGACCGAGTGGACGAGGAGGTGACAGAGCATGCTCAGTTGGTTACCGTAGTAACGTCCTCTCTGAGTGTCTGACCTTTCAACTGTTACCCCTCTCAGGTGTTTAAGAAGGCCTACATCCCCCGAACGCTGAACGAAGTCAGTCACTACGAGCGAGACGTCGACCTGATGAGGGCAAAGGAGGAGGAGTCGGCCATCAGTGGACACGACGACAACGTACGAATCACTGCGACACGGCGAGTAGAATCAGAACGTACAGGGACAGGGTGGAACTGATGGTGATGTTCTGTGTTCCTCAGGTTCTGTACCAAACGCTGACCGGACTGAAGAAGGATCTCTCCGGAGTTCAGACAGTACGAACACCTCTCACTCACGCTGCTGTCAGCCAAGCTTAGCCTAGCTTAACCTAGTTAAGCTTAGCCTAGCCTAGCTTAACCTAGCGTAACTGTGACATGGCATCAGTGTGTCCTCAGGTTCCTGCACTGCTGTCAGCCTAGCTTAGCCTAGCTTAGCTTAGTTTAGCCTAGCCTAGCTTAACGTAGCATGACTGTGACATGGCATCAATGTGTCCTCAGGTTCCTGCACTGCTGGAAGATGAGTGCTCTTCCTCTGAGAATGAAGATGAGGAGGACGATGAAGAGGAGGAGCAGCAGGAGCAGAATGATGAGGCTCCGATGGACAGAAAGGTGTTTGTCTGCGATGAGAGTCCAAAAGTTTAACAAGGAATCAAAACGTTAAAGCTTGTCTGTATTTGTTTCAGGAGAAGAAGAAGATGGTAAAAGAAGCTCAGAGGGAGAAGAGAAGAAGTAAAGTACCAAAACACGTGAAGAAGAGGAAGGAGAAGGTGGCCAAGATGAAGAAGGGCAAATGATGCCCTGACGGCCGGCCGAGCATCGATCCAATACAGACAGAAAACCTGCCAATCACACACAGGGACTGGGAGGCGGGGCTGGAGCTGACCAATCATAGCTGAGACACTGCTGCCAGAAGCATCTTTAAATAAACCATTGTTTTTACATTCTTCAACCAATCAGCAGCCTCCTTGTAGTTCCCCTGACATCCACCTGAGGCTCCAACAGCCAATCACAGAGCTCCTTGTCAAATAAACATGTTTGCAGACAGAAGAAAGAAAAACTAAAACCACTTGTCAGTCTGGTTTTTACAGATCTCACCTCGTTGAACTGGATGAACGTTAGAGCTGTTTAGGCCTCTGAGTGTTGGTCCTGTTTCTAGCTCTTGGATCGCCCTGCAGCTGCTTCACACCAAACCGTTCACTGTCTTGCTCAGATATCAAACCAAATTGACTCAAAAGTTTCCCCAAATAACACAAAACTTGTCTAAAATGTCAGATAAGCAGCCGTCAGTCTGCAGAGTGTTTCCTCTACGTGTGTGTTCAGTGGTCAGTGAGGGTTTCTCTTTGATATTTGTTTCTGGGCCTGCAGGTGGTTCAGTGGTTAGCATCGTGGCTAGAAGGCCGCCGGTTGGCGTCCCGGTGAGGACGGGGCCGCGAGGTGGCTCAGTGGTTAGCATCGTTGCTTTGCAGCTAGAAGGTCGTTGGTTCACGTCCCGGTGAGGACACCCGGGATCTT